ACAGCAAATTTGATGAATTGGTAAGGTGATGCTAGCAGCAGCAAACAGCCAAACAGAAAACAGTTTGAGCTGCATTTCTGAAGGCATTGTTTTACAGAGAAGGAAGATAACATTCCATCGCTATATTGCTCTAGCATATCTCCCCAGGAATACTATATTCTGTTGAGACCCACAAACCACATTACTAGAAAGGTATCGGCACAGCAGAATTTAGTGAAGCCATGAGTGATAGAAAATTCAGCTTCTTAAGAAAGATCAAAATACAGGACTTAGGAAAACATGATAAAGGGACTAAGAGGAACTCAGAAATACAAGGTTCTGTAAAAATTGAAGGATTTTGATTAAACGGGTGAAAAAAAAGCTGTACATGGAAGTACAAGTAGGATTAGCTCAATTTAGTTCAGGGCTCAGCAGTGAAGGAAAGGAGAGAGAGAGCTATGAGCTCTTTTGCATTGTAGAATAGTCTTGCTTTGGAAGCAGTATCGAAGTTGTGGGAAAAATATCTCCTTTTGGTAATTGCTTTTATATTCAATTTGACATTGGCAAGGTAGGAATTCAGAGCTAAAAAGCCTGTACATATCTATTGTGTCAGTTTCAGGTTCTTTAGTGCAAATATATAGTAAATATGTGCTACTTCATCCTGTGGATTGCAAGGAAGATCAGTTCCCAAATACAGCTGTTGTTTCCTCATTATTCCATGTGGAACATAATTAACATAGGATTAATTCAAAATTTTGTAAACTCTAGAATAGCATATATCCGACATCTGGTTCAAAGCTTGGATTTTCTTCCTGTATGCGTCTAGATGAGTGGTTTCTTCACATACTCCCAAACCATTCTCCTCACCTTTCCACTCTTTGGAAGGAGTGTAGATAATCTTTCTGGGGACTTGGAATAAAAAAGACATGTCAAAGGTGAATGCAGTCTTCTCATACTACCACTCCCTCAGGTGAGGGAGACTGAAACAGAGGCAGCCAATATTTTTGTCTGATTTTTTTTTTTTTAAAGGGATGTCTATCTAGCTTGTTGAAGATCTTTTTATCAAAGAAGAAATGATAGTTTATTCCTCTGCAGGGCAAGTCTTTCATTTGCCTAAAGAAAAACATAAAAGGTGGTTGAAGCCATGACCTTGCATGCATCTTTTTATACGCCAAAGATGCATAGTGTATGGCAGATCAGAAATCAGACTCTCAAGCAATCTACTTCTGGAATGCTTAGTGATACAACCTTGTTGCTGCAGTAACAGGAATTCAAGGCTCTTCCATGAGCACATCTACCACTGCAGCTAAAATATAACTGATGAGTAACGTGGCCAGCCTAATGAAGTAGTAGCAACCTGAACAATTGGAATTTCCATTACTTGCTTCCTTCCATCTTAATTTAGCATTGACACGAGTGGTTTTTATTTCATTCACTTAATGGCTATGCACTCCCAAGCATGCAGTTGTAGCTTTCCTAAAGTCAGTTCGCTCTAACACAGCATGGTCTTCTGGCATTTGTGAATTGTTTCCGCTAGTGTAACGTCTCTGACGCAGCTGTGAAAGGGTGGCTCTGCTCACGGTCTGAGGCATTTGCTGGAGGTGGCAGTGCTCTCCTCTGCTGTAGAGCCCACAGAGCCTGGTACCCGTCCAGCTTCCTCGCAACTGTTCCCATCAGTCAGCTGGGGACAGCTCTGGGGGGACCTGGTGAGCTCTGGACAATTCTCTGAAATCTGTAGAGAAAATGTCACCCTGCTCCTGGGATATGTTTTTTTTTCTTTAAATGTCACTCCTTACACCAGTGACCTCATCTGATTCAGCATAGCTTCTGTCTGAAGGGAGGGAACAATATGCAAGTCAGATTTTGACATAGCTGGAGAATGTAGGGAAGAAGGCACACGAAGAGAAACAGAATACTGTTATTTGAGCAAACAAAAAATAATTTTTGGAGCAGTTTAACAGGCAGTTATGTGAAGCAACTAAAACATAATCTAAACATCACAAATTTCTGAAAACAAGAGCATTGTCTATTATGTACACAGAGTTTATTTCATCCTGAAGTTTCCCAGGAGGTTTTGCTGAGGTTTGTGCTGGTAGCTGTAATGGCACTGTACCCGCTGCACCAGTCCAGCTCCCTGGGTTTGCTCTGGATGTTTGACACAGTGAGAACACCCATGTGTCTCACCTTTGAAAACAGGGCAAGGTTGAAATAGTCATCTGGGTGGATCATCAGCTGTCTTATTTAGAGGCCACTTGTATTAAAAGTCTATAGAAGACAAGTGAGACCTATGCTAACAGTGTCCCTAGCAAATCCAGCTGTGACTACAGCATGAGCTTTATTTCCACTTCGTTAATAGGCATGGAGCTTTCTCTGAGCAGGCAGAGGGAGAACAAATGCAGGACTTGAAGAGGCCTGGAGAAAGAAAACCGGAGTCTTTTTGCTCCAAAATGTGCCTGGTAGTGATAGTGCAGGCACATGAAAGAGCCATGGTCCTGTTGTGTTGAAGGGGAATGTTGGCCAGGGCACTGGCACATCCCCTACACTTTCTTTTAAAAAGTGCCAAGCTATGCTGAACGTTCGTGCAGACAGAGAGAGAAACCAAAGGAGTAGGGACAAGTGACCTGAGTTTAACATTTCATTCAAATGACAGTGCCTCTAATCAGATTACCACTCTAGTTTCCTAGCACACCACCCAGCCTGAAGGATCTCACAGACCCTTTCAGATGTTCTAAACTGATAAGCAAATGGCATGTTGTGCATGTGAAAGTAGGATAGAAGCACATAGTGTTTGATTGAACAGCATCTCTGTTTCTTAATGCTTTGCTCTATTCAACTTGCTCTGCAGTTTTATTCTGTTCTGGGTTTTGCTTTAACCCTCCCTTTGTTCCCCCACCTGCCCCCTTTTTTTAAAAAACAAACAAACAACACCAAAACCAAAACAAAACACTGGAGATCTAGATGTAGGAAGGTAACATGCACAGAATTCACAGTCCATAAAAATGTAACCTCTCTAATCCTTTTTTTCTGTGATACTGTCTTTACTAGGGAAGCAAAGACTTGCTATGTTTATTTTACTCCCATTTTTATTCCTTTCTCTTGAACCCTTGAAATGCAGCCAAGAAAGGACACTAAAAAACAACAGTGAATTCCTACAAAAAGGAAAGGAATAGTAGCACAATGAGAATTTACCTTCAATTTTTTGTGTGTGGATGTGACCTTTTAAAAAAATAATTTGAAAAATCCAGTACCAGTGTTTGGAAAGAGACCTACTGGATGAACTGGCAGGTCTGAAAACTGCCATTTGAAATGCAACAGGTCAGTTTTGTCTCCCCTCAAAGTCATCGTCCAGACATCACGGGTTCTGGACTCATATAGGGTAGATTACAAATGCTGTTAATGTAAATGTGCACAGGAGGTATTGGTGAGACATCAGAAACCCATTTTCTTTTCAAGCTGTGTCTTGCTATTTGCTTTGGGTTTGGTTTGGGCCAGTTCTGCTGGCTTAGTGTAGCTTTCACTCCAATCTGTAAATTGATGTGGTTTAATTTGGACCTCTGGCTAAAAAATATGGTTATGTGGTTTAGTCTAGTGTCTATGCGGAGCTCCATTATTTCCTTGTACAAATGGTGTTTCTGCCACTGTGAATACTAAACAAACACGTTGCCTCACGGTTTTGAAAAATTATCAGATAACAGACTGAGGCCCTGGTAGTGTTTGCTCTCTGCTGTTTCACCATCAGTTTTTCTATCACATTTTAAGGTAGATGTATGGGCAGAGTGACCTATTATCAATGTTCAAACTGAGCTGCCACACTCTAGTGTGTTTTTGGTTGTCTTTTTGATTATCAGAGTAGAACCCATGCTTTTTATTTCACCTTAACATAATGTGAATTTCTTTCTAACGGGAGGATAAAGGCAGGGATGCTGCAGAGATACGGTAGACTGGTTCTGGTGGTCCTGCACGTATTAGTGACTTGAAAGGGGTGAGTGTAATTTAATGTTCATAGCTTTATCCTGAGAGCAGAAGCTTTTTATTTATATATGTAGTTCTGCCAACAGCTTCTCACCTTCCTTCTTGTTCTCTGTGTTTTAGCTATGCCAAATCTGCGGCAGAAATGCTATCCAGCATTACTGAACAAAGGCTATAGAGTTTTGTGGAACACCTAACACAACTGGAATATAAACTATGCAAAATCAGGGAATGAATTAAGAAAGCAGTTAGCTAGCTATTTGTATTCTTAGCCTTCTGCTTATATGTCATGCCTTCAGAAGACTTGTATTGAAATAATGAGACAGGTGTGTAGTGTAACTATGCTTTCGCCCTGGAAATTAAATGCTGATTAGAAAAAAAACATCATACCTCTCTGCATTCAAAGAGAATAAATTTTCATTTTTCCTTGAGAAAGCATGGGCTATGGAAACAAGAGCCAAGCATGAAGTTGTGGGGGTCTTTTGTGATGATAAATGTATGTAGCATATACTTTTTTCCATTTTAATGATTTGATGCCTTTCCTGCTACATATGGAAAGATCTATATAAAAAGAACTTGTTTGTAGTGCATTATATATCACAGTGCTATAAACGTATGTCCTGAAGCAGAAGTTACAAATGGCTATGTATTTGTTAACAGATTAGTAAAGAGGTTTGGGTGTCTGGGATTTTAGCATGGGATTTTGTTTGTTTTATTACAAAATGTATTTTGCCTGCAAAGTAACTGAGCATGAAAAGGGGCTTGAGAAGCCTAGAAAGATCTGTCCCCTTCCCTGGGGGCTATATTAGACTTCTGAGTCATGAAGTCTTTGCATAGTAGGTGTCTGGTTACAAACCTTTTATGGGCCCTACTCAGCTGGGATATCAGCATCTGCATTATAGCTCCCATCTATTCTTAGGTGATATCAGAGCACGACTGAACAGGCAAGGCAGAAAGAGAATTGCTTTTGTTATATAAAACTCTTCCCATTTCTCATTCTGTTTTTTTCACACTTTCTTTGTCTACCCCATCCTTCTGTTCTGCAGTGCCTTGTTGCCTTGCGAAAGAGATACAAAATGGCTTACAGCGTGACTCTGAATGGACCTGGACCATGGGGTTTCCGACTGCAAGGGGGCAAGGACTTCAACATGCCCTTGACCATCTCCAGAGTAAGTAAGAAAAAAAACCCCAAAACTTCATTGAGCTTGTTTAGGTTGGGAAATAGCCATAAACTACATCATGTGTACACTCTGACCTGGCCTAGCAAAATAGAAGATCTTTGCAACTAGGTCTGAATAAAGAGAATATAATGTGGACTTTAAATATACCCGTTCAAGGCACTAGCTGGCATTGATGGTGCCTCAGGAAGACAGTTCTGGTTAGTATGTTTTTTAAATGATGGTATTATCTCTTTTTAAATGAGCTTCCAGTTCTATTTTGTACAGTGTTGTCTCTTTTTCTGCTGATCGGGCCTCAGTGATGCTGTCTATTTGTGAGGAAGGGAGTAGAACAACTACGAATGGGAATATAAAATTGTATTTCTAGTAAATAAACATGTATCTGCTTGTAAATACGTGAAGTCTAGGTGTTCAAGCTGGACAAAGATAGGGATACGTGTCTTCTCTTTTGTGGGGGAGCAGTAATTGGAAGAAAACGAGACATGTCAAGCAGAAGACTCAATAATGCTTAAAATACGGCCTTAAATTATGCAGGAGCCTTCCATTTGCAGCTGACAAACAGCATATGATTTAATAATTAATTATCTGGTGTATCTGTCAGTTACAGATTAGTCCGTTTATTTCCAAATCGTCTTTTTTTTTTTCCTCTCTCCTAAGAGCAATATTTTAAGGTGTCTTATTACCTGGAATTATTTGTTTCCTAAAATTTTTTAACACTGGATGGTTTTCAGGAAATTTGTAAGTGTTTCCCTTACCTACCCTGCTCTTATCAAACTAGATAGTTCTGTGTAACTTCTGGTTTGGGAACTCTGCTTTCTACTCCTCTTGCAACTTCTTCCTCATGTGTTGGTTTTTTTTTTTTTTGATAGTCTCTATCTGTTCCAGAATGTTCAGACCTTTTTAGAGATGACTTGGTTTCTCCACAAATCACCTGCAGAAGGCTTGTTTTGCAGTGCAATGACAAGAGAGGTTACTTACATAACAGTTTTTAAAAGGAATACTAGAATGATTTAATTAGATAAAGAAGTAGAATGCAAACCAAAAGTCTGCTCCACTGCAAAAAAAAGCCACCTATGCTACTTTGAAAACTATTTTTTTATAGTGAAAAAATACTGTTTTATAGTGAAAAAGTCTGTTAAGTTGTGGGTACCAAATTGATATTTCTGGATCAATCATAATTCAAAGTTATCAGTGATCTTCTGAAATCTTAACTACCCAATTTTGTATTCAAACTGCAAAGCTTTGTTTTATTTGATCTCCCTTACTCTTATGCACAATATTCCTTTCTCTGTAGATGGGGCCATGTTTATGTTAATACTAAGTCCTATGATGATGCGAGGACCTTTTCGTAACCCGGTGTAGTAATTGCAAAGAAGGCTGTTCTGTTGGTGTTACTAAAGCCAGCCAAACAAAAAAAAACCCAACAAAAAACCCACTCCTGCCCACAAAAATAAACTCTCTTCATAAACTTATACTAATTTCGTTATGGTAAATAGTTTTGGTATTTCTTTCCTTTTCCCACCGAAGGTAAGTACAGAGAGATGCCAACATATCCCTGTAGGCATTTTTGTGATGCTTTGCAGCCTGCACTGTATGGTGGTGGTTTTTTTTTCGTAAGCAATTCAGCCATACCTAGAGGCGGTCAGTCAAGGGCTGTGGCACTTGCACTGTGTATGACACAATCAGAAATGAAAAAAAAAGTTGTTTCCCAAAGAACCCATTGTCTCAGATTATAATCTCTTAAAGTACATTCACTGTGCCCAAAGGCTATATGATTGTCATGAGGCTTTTGAGAGCATATGATGAACAGGAGTGAAACTGCAGTGGCTGGATTCCCAGAGGTGTGGAGGAATTGCATCTTCACACAGCTGGCTGCATTTCCAGCACTAGAATGGCCAGAAGGCACTCTTAAATGTTTTGAACTCTTCTCCACTGAGGTCTAACTTTTAGCTGGGAGCATTGCTTTGGGATGGGATTGGATTTTGTAGCCTGCCTTAGGTGGGAAAGGCAGGCATGCAAAAATGAACATAGCTTCTTCCAGGGAGAACTGGAATAAGTCTGCCTACTGGTTGTGACTTTTTTTAATTGCAACACAGTGTAATACATAGCTTTTGATTATAGTATTCTTAAAGTCTATTTTTCCTTTAGCATCTTTCACCCAAATATATCTCCAAACAGATCAGGTATCCCCTTAATCAGCGATTTGTAGTCATAAGTGAGGTGAGCTGTGAACTCAGCCGTAATTGCAATCTTACCAGGGGGGAAAAGGAAAGCTGTACTTATATTCCCAAGATATTCTTGGGGAGTAGGAGAAAGGGACAATAACTGTATGGAAAATCCCCTTAGGAAGGGCGTATAGCTCTAAATGGTGCCAGTGGATGTCACATGCTTACTTATGGACTGCGTTTGGTCCACAGCAGCCCTGGGATGGGATTAGACTTTCTGTGTGGAAGATGAGTCCTAAACCCCAACATTTCAACTTAAAGGGTCTTATAATTGCTTTTAATACCGGATGTGCCATGGCCCTTCTGTCTACATATGCATAATATCCCTCTATGCAGGCAGATAGGTCTTATATGCGGACATGCTTATTATACTCTAACTGCCCCAAGCAGTAAGGTTGTCTGTGGGTGGGCCACAGAGAACAAAAAAGATTTATCTTTTTTCATGGAGGCTCTGTGCTCTTCTCTTATGCTGCAAGTCATTCTGTGAGATACTTTCCTCCTGAGAAAGATGACAGCAACAGTCTGCCACACCAGGATTGTTCATTCTGTCTATAGTCTTATGCCTGCATGTTTCCATCGATCTTCCTGAAAGGGAAAGCTAGTATTGCACCAGTGTGAAGCTAGCCCACACCTAGACATAAAGTGGGCACACTACGCTTAGGAACTAGAGCTATGATTTAGCTGTCTGTTGACCTGCACTCTTGTCAGCCAGCCCCGTACAATTCCAACTCAGGTTGCACTTCTCCACCTGAGAAGAAGGGGAGAAAACCTGAAGGTCTTTGAAGGTCTTTGAAGCCTACTGACAAAAGCACAGTACAAGATCGTGGCATTGCAAATGCTTTGGTTGAGGAAAATTCTCTTAAAACAGTGAGCAAGGAAGGGAATTACTCAGAGCTGTTTGGCACAACAGTTCAGTTTTCAAGGACTCTTCAAAATGCTTTTTATAGAATCATAGAATGGTTAAGGTTGGAAGGGACCCCAAAGATCATCTAGTTCCAACCCTCCTGCCATGGGCAGGGACACCTTCCACTACACCAGGTTGCTCAAAGCCTCATCCAGCCTGGCCTTGAACACTTCCAGGGATGGGCCATCCACAACTTCTCTGGGCAACCTGTTCCAGTGCCTCACCACCCTCAGAGTAAAGAAGTTTTTCCTTATATCCAATCGAAATCTCCCCTCTTTCTGTTTAAAGCCATTGCCCCTTGTCCTATCACTACAAGCCCTTGTAAAAAGTCCCTCTCCAGCTTTCCTGTAGGCCCCCTTTAAGTACTAGAAGGCTGCTATAAGATCACCCCAGAGCCTTCTCTTCTCCAGGCTGAACAACCTCAACTCTCTCAGCCTGTCTTCACAGGAGAGGTGCTCCAGCCCTTGGATTATCTTCGTGGCCCTCCTCTGGACTCTAGTGTTTTGAGACACTATTTTCTTCCCTTCGTGTATGTCCAGGTGATCAGCTCACTGCTGAACAGTAAACAGTGTAAGACATAGGAGTCAGTCAGTTAGCTGCATGAGGGGTGAAGATATGTTCTCCTGAAATAGATTGTTCTGCTTATCTGTTCTTTATCTAAAAATAATTGCCTGACTAAGGTAGCGGGGTGGGGACAGGAAAAGAGGAAACAAAAACAAGTGGAGAAGAGTTAAGGTCATTCTGCAACTTTCACACTCCTTTAACAATGGTGTTAGAAATGTAAAAAATATTTTTCCAGTCCCTGCCCTGCAGACCATCCTACTATCTAAAACAAATTCTGTCATGAGATGTCATGGGCAGGTAGCAGAGGTAGGAAAACAGTATTGACAGACTCTTAGTAAAGCTGAGCATCTGTCAGTCCTACTGAAATGAATGAGACTTGCAGGTTGTAGGCAATGCTAAGAGCTGTCACTAGTCGTGTGATCATATGCTTAAATCTGGTCTTTCCAAATTGATGTGGGCAGCAAAGGAGGTTATTTTTTTCCTACTGCTTACATGAACTGTCTGGAAGCGAGCAGAATTCATTAATTTTATAGACCCTAGTCCTTTGTAAGAAGACTTTTAGGCATAGTTAATTATGTAAGTGCTGTGTTGCCATGTTACTTAAGATGGTATGATTGTACATGGATGGACGCAGTAGCAGAGCCTCTTCATATATTGGTGAATGATTATTGCTGAACAGCAAACTCCTCTAGTGAGACAGACTGGCTTGCAGGTGATGTAATGAGCTGAAAGGTATGAAAAATTGTCATCATCTGAGATAGCAGAAATATTATCCAGAAGAGTGCGATAACTCATGGCTGGTATATTCACTCTGTGATTATCCATACAGTTTTGTGTTTCATAATAGAGGGTTTTTTTTTAATGTTTTCCAAATGGGTTCCAAATCAAAAGCCAGATCCTGAAGCTGAAGGACACAGTGTTTAAACAAAACAAAAGTGCTAGAGAACTGATTTGACTTTAATAAGTGAGGAAGAAGTTGAAATCTGGTGATGACATAACTACAGTGAAAGGAAATGGCAAACACTAGTAGGAAATAAACAAAATTTCCTGATCTGTGTACTGATTCTGATACAAGCAGCCTCAAACAGCTCTTTGTGGGAAGGAAGCCCGAGTTCTAGCATTTCACAGTCCATGTCTCTGGAGGAGCAGGAAAGCTCTTTCCTTTTACTAGCATCTTCTCTTGATTAGTTCCTGTCCCTCCTCCACTCCCTAGCATACATATATCGACCTCTCACTGTGACTGTATTTCCCATAGAGGAGCTATGTGAAAGTATTCATTTCCCATTGGCCTTGTTGGG